TCACGGTTAGTGAAATTACTCTGGATTCGTTGGCTGTTGGCTGATTTCGACATTGTTTTGGACAAACCCACTCCCCTTTTGAGTGATAATGAATCTGCTCGTCACATTGCACACAATCCTGTTTTCCACGAATGTACAAAGCACGTGGAAATGGACTGTTACTTTGTTAAGAAACGAGCTGAGTCTAAGGAGATTACACCTGTCAAAATCAAGACTCAAGACTAGTTATTGATTTATTGACCAAAACCACTTGGATCAGATCGTCTCAAATTTTATCGGACAAGTTGGGCATTCGTAATCTTCATGCTCCATCTTGAGGGGAGTAATGGAACTATTTTACACATCTAGACTATTCCATTAAGATAATCACAGTAATACAGAATAGATTTGATGATGCGGTTAATATAGTTTGTTGATGCGGTTTTCTGACCGCACCAAAAAATATGGCACTACAAAATAGTACTATTTGATGATGCGGTTTACAAACCGCATTAAAAAACACTAGAAACCGCCTTTTAAGATATCAAAACTAAAATAACAAATCGCATTAAAAATCAGCAACCGCTCTATTAAAATATTAGCACTAAAATATCAAAAACCGTCCTATTAAGTAATCGCACCAACAAATCAGGAACCGCTCTATTAAATATTAGCACCAAAAAATAAACAACCGCCTTATTAAAAATATCGCACTAGAAATCGGAAAACCGCTCTATATATATATATATATATATATATACACACACACACACACACACACACAGAGAGAAGAGAGAGAGAGCACAAAAAACAAAACCGCACTATAAAAAATAATATATCATCTAAAAATCATTAATAAACAAAAACATATTATTTAACAAAACTTCATTATACAAAAAACCAACAATTTCTAATTTACATTTAGTTATAATAAAACACAAACATTATAATTCTTAGAAAGTTCTTTTCCAACTATCGTTCACCATCTTAATTAAACAAGGTATTATTTTTGGGACCATATCTTCAAGTTTAACGAGCGTAACTTTTTCCATAACTACAACAAACAAATAAACAACATATATATATATATTATATATATAATATATATTATATATATATATATATATATATATATATATACACACACACACACACAAAATATTGATATTTTAAATCTATACAAAATACTTACTTTATTTTCAAAATCATGTTGAATGGTCTCAACAAACTCCTTCATATGTTTTATTACTATAAATCCACATTCTCATCCACCTTTTTGTTGTAGCATATAATTTAATTCACAATAACTATTTCAAACCATTTGAAATATATTGATAAAAATTAATAGAAAACATATCTTTACTGTTTTCTACTTATTAACTCGTCCCGGGAAAACATTATCAATGAAAAGAAGGAAAGTGGTAAGCGTCTTTTTTCTTTTCTTGGTTCTTTTCACACAAAGAATCAAGAATATAACCACATTTGCTTTGAGGACATAGGATAAAAGCAACCAATGCATACTGCAAAAATAAGAATTATTTAACAAGTAAGCATATATGTGTACTGTGTATTTATATAAGTGTAGTGTGTATATGCATGTGAACGTATTATGGAAAGAAAAAAATTACCCGTGTAAATATGGAGCAAAAAATATCATTTGTCTTTATGATACGAAAATACTTCTTCGATATGTTTAGTGACGGACGACAAGTCTGTTTTAGTATCTAAGCGTGCAATGCAAAGCGGATCAAAAAAAGCACATTCGGAATTGGGCGAACCTAAAAAGAAGCCTATATATATATTACACAATGTTAGTAAAAATTAATTATATCTAAAAGTTATAATACCATATTAAAAAAATATAATAATAACTTACATTGCAAACCAATGAATAATGCTTTGATCAAGCCAATCTCTTAAAAATAGTTGTAATACCTCGATATATTGGATGGTAATTTGAACCCTACAGCGATACATCCCTTTGGGTGAAAAAATATTAACAACATTTGCATTCCCAAAAAACTCTACTACTTGAAAACCAACAGATTGAATTTGAGGTCTTTGTTCTTGTAATTTGCTCAAGGATGTAAACTAGTCAGGTTCATCATGTGTAACGAATTCAGGTTCGGGTTCGGTTTCGGATTCGGATTCGGATTCAGATTCGAGTTCGGATTCAAATTCGGATTCGGGTTCAGGTCAGGCTCTGGGTTCGGGTGCATTTAAATGAACTTGTGGTGGATTCATAGATAACATCTACAGACAAACACAAAACATTAGTAATTAGATATGATTATATACAAACATAAAACATCTAAAAAACATAATATGTCTAAAAATGAGCATAAACCAAGTTTTTAAGACTAACCATATCAACTAAACCACCTTGAAAATGTTCATTAATTTCATGTTGATAAGCAATGTGGTTTTCCTCAAACTAAAATAGCAAAAAAATTAAAAATTGTTATAATATTATCAAAATAATACTAAATTAACAAAAAATAAGAGTGAACTGGTTGAATACTTATGGACGATAAACTGAAGTCGTCATGATGTCATCAACATGTATGTGTGGTGAGGCGTGATTCCACCCCATTCTCGTGCCACTATTTGATTTGCTAGGTGTCTTGTTCACAAGCTATAATATTTTGTAATATTTAAATAAACATATATTAAAATATATATTTATATTTAAATATAAATATACCTTTATTGCATATCTCGGCCACTGAACGATGGTATGTAGAAGATGTTTAACATATTCAACTTCTTCCGTCCGTGTGACGGCATGCACAGGCAAGTTCTCATATATTTTGACGATTTCATCAACCCGTACTTTCACACAACCTGTACTTATTGGTCATGAATGTATGACCGTTTCAGATGTTGGCCATGCAATACCATTAGCTACTATCAATTGAGTATCAGCCACATTCACTAGCAATTCACATTCTGTCCTAACCTGTGAATCATACAACTTTTTTTGTAAATATAATATAAAAACATAACTTATAATATACATACATACATACATACATATATATATATATATATATATATATATATATATATATATATATATATATATTATGTGAAAACTATAAATATATTACCTTAATAGGTGGGTATTCTGTCAACCGTCCACCAGATGCACTACTAGATTCATGCAATGATGGGATCATGTCAACCTGTTGTCTCGGTCTCGTGGTTCTACTATTTTCCACATTTTTGAACAATCCACCATAAACCTGGGTATGGCGAATGATATTAGATATTGTCCGTGATCGCGTCCCAAAAGTCTAACTAATGGGTCTTCCTTATTTCGGAAATAACTCCCATCAGCTATCATTCTTTTCTCTTCTTGTTCCTATGAAGAAAAAAATACTTGTAAAGATATATCTACTAAAAAATCAAAATCTTCATAAATTGAAAAAAAAAATAATTGTTTACCAAATATTGAAAATCTTTAAATGCCCCTTGGGGAAGATCGTACGTGTTGGTTTCTGGGTAAATTAATGCGAAAGCCATTAAATATAACATAGACCGCTCATTTTGTATACGACCCAGAAACTCGTATTTAGCTACAAGTTGAGGCCATATAATGTCTTTTTTTCAAGACTCTTCCATCGACTTCGACCTAAACATGTAATGAATATCCTTTTCACATTGCTTTCTTTAGCTTTTACACTTCTTGCTTCACACATATCAACAAATTGTTAATAATAATAATAATAATAATAATAATAATAATAATAATAATAAATAAATAAATAAATAAACAATTAAAACATACCAAAACCTCACGAGTAGTTTTTTGTGCAACAAATCTTTCCCATTCATCAGGTTTTATAAAATCATATTTGAGACAAGCATTCAATTCTTGATTCACAAAATTTGAAACAAGGAATGATTTAAAATTTGATGCAAGTTTTACAGCTTTCCTCATCAAATATTTTTCTTGATCATTAGACTCGATGTTCCACTGTTTCTACAATTTCAAAACAAAATATGTTAAACATAATAATTAATTAACAAGTTATTTATATTTGCAATAAATTAAAATATAAATACCTTATTTTATAACCATAAATCTTTAAAATACTTTTCTCCAGCTTTACGCGACTCTATATCTATAGGAAAACTGCGTCGAACCTTCATGCCAAACCAAGAACTAAACTGTGTTGGCATGCCATTGTCTGGGATATTATTTTTATCAAACTTCACTTTATATTTTTCCGGAGAAATCTTTGACTTAAATGCAGCAATACCACGTTCACCTCTTTTTTTTGGTCCTAAATTTTCCATTTTTACAAGCCTAACAATATTAAACAAATTAAAAATATTTTTATCCATGGATAATAGAAGACAAACATAACATAAGGACAAAAAACATAATCCAATACAATAGTATATTCCATGAATACAAAACAAGAATCTAACATAATGCAATGAAAAGGAAGGATCGATCCAATAAATTGGTAGACCCCATATATGTGGGGCCAAGTATTACATTTATTAACCAGGAGACAATCACACGTTTATGTATTCTAAAGATTGTAAACTATAATGTAAAGTAATAAGACTTTTTCACAACAACAAATGAATACTTTACAGATTCTAAAAATTATAAAGCTATACGACACGAGACAAGTCACGGTCAATTCTAAAAGATTTGAAACACTTTTTAAAAATAAACTTTTGAAAACAAAGCAATATATATATACACCACCAACAAATCAATGTAAATATACCTTAAATGACAAAGCAACTCAAAACAGAAAATGTGGCCGAGACTTGTGGAGGTTTCAGACGAGAGCTATGGAGGTTTACCGTGGAGACTTGTGGAGGTCCCAGCGTCAACTTAGCCGTCCATTAAAACCGGAATTTCCGTTGGCGACGGCAAGGGTTTACGAATCGCTATGGAGGTTTCGAGATGGCGTGCAGTGAAAAATTTAGAAAAACCACAGGAGGGTAAACTTGAGGTATTGACTGTGGGCGGATGATTTTATGAGGCGGTGATTTTCTTTAAATGCGGTTTCACTTTTTTGAGGCGGTTCCTTCGAATTTTATAAGGCGGTTTCACTTTTTTGAGGCAGTTCCTTCCTATTTTATAAGGCGGATTCCTTAAAAAAAAATATTTTAATTTTGTTTTAATCATAATCATAAATTAATAATATAAATAAGGCTTCAGGTATTTTTATGCATGGTGCGACTATTGTGGAGCCATGTTTTTTATGAGGCGGTGCAATTCTTATGCGGTCATTAATATTTAGCAATTATATTGGTTTTATAAAAATTATTATTAGAAATTATTCAATTTAATATATAGTTAGACTCATAATTAATTATATATAATTCTAAAAATAAGTATTACAAAAACAATAAAAACATAATATATACTTCCAAAATTTAAAAAATTATGGTTTAAGTTTCAATGTTTTAGTGTTTAGGGTGCATGGTTTAGCATTTAGTGTTTACCTAAGACCGAACATGCTGCTTAGTGTTTAGTGGTGTAACATCCTAAAATTTCCAACAAATTTGAACTTTTTAAAATAACATAAATCATATATTTAATGTATTTTATTCGAAACAAATGAAATATCAAACCCCAAGGTTAATTTATTTTCCGAACATTATTAGTTATAATTTTAAAATTCATGAAAAGATAACCAATTCAATATCAATTCCAAAAACCCGCCTCGAGCCAGTGTGTATAATCATGTCCGATTTACTGTTTGTGGATTTAATTTGGAGTTTTGGGTTGAAGGATTTAGTGTTTGGGTATAGGGATTAGGGTTTATGGTTCAGTGTTTAATGGTTAAGATTTATGGTTTAAGGTTCAAGATTTAGTGTTTAGGGGTTAGGGTTTACGTGTAACACTTCAGGGTAAGGAACCTCCTCCTTGAGCTATTTCATTATTGATTCATGAATGGTGGTTGATTTGGGATTCATTAGCTTGTTTGGGAGCTATCTCGAGTTTGAGGCTTAGATCTGAAGTTGCTACTTTAGATCTAGACTTGTGATGGCCCAAAAGGTCATAAAGTTCCTGTCTAAGAGTCATTGGTGAATCCCTTTGTCTTAAACCCTATCCCTAGAAGTGTTTTGGGCTTATATCTCCTTGCTTTTCACGTAAAGTTTGCAACTTTATGTGAGGGTTAGGCTGTAGAAGAGTGAATCTATGGATTGGAGTCCCTGATGGCTTGAAAAGCCTCTGTATGTGTAACATCCAAAAAATACGGGCCAAAAATTTCATTTTCAACATATACTTAGCAAACATTAGAAATACAACATTCACCGATCATATCATTTCATAAAAGATATCGCATGTCTGGAAAAACATTTTATAAAACATAATAATGTCAGAGTATAACTCCCCAGGAAGATCTCATAGTGCGGAATACGAGGCATGTGTGTGATGTGCCGCTACCGTGCCAACTCCTTCCCCTTCGAAGAAGAGGTACTTGAAACCAAAACTGAAAACCATAAGCACGAAGGTTAGTGAGTTCCCCTAATATACCACATACCATACAATCGCATAACATACATATAGTGTCAGGCATATCTGGGTGCCTGACCTACCCCTTCTATCCTCTCGACCGGGTACTGGGACTATTTCACCCCCTACTACGACCGGGTACTCGACTCACCGAGTCCGATGAACGACTCGCCGAGGCTTTCGCATGTAAATACTGTATGCTCTATTTTGCTTGATTCCAGCTCATGTCATACATAGATCTGGGTTCCTAGGGCTCGATTATCACGTAAAGTTTCCAACTTTACGTGTAAACAAACCCAATGAAGGTTTTAGGGCTCAAAATGAACTAAGAGAGTACATCTAGGGCTTTCATGCAATATGGCTCCATAAAGGCAGTAGATCCGAGCTCCTGGAGCTCAACCATGCCTAGATCTAAAGGTTAATCAGCTTATTACAAACCCTAATTCATAATCAAGCTTGGAAATAGCTCAAGAATGACTTTGATTAGTTGTGAGATGTTATATGATTACATGTTTATGTGCACATGGTTGTTGGATTCGGGTTGGGTTGAGGCAGGTCCTGCTTTGTGCTGTAGGCCAACATACCAGGGCGGACTAGTTAGACCGAAGGCTCGGCGAGCGGTCCGGATAGACTGAAGGCCCAAAAGGGCGGACCAATCATACTATAGACTCAGAGAGTGGACCATGTGGACTGGGAGGGGTCACAAGGTAGATTGGAGTTGCTTTTTGCACCCATGGAAGGTCCCTAGCAACATAAGAGCCATTTTAGGGTCTTTTGAGCTTATAGTCCATGCATGCACGTAAAGTTCGTAACTTTACGTGCTAGATGGATCTTAGGAGTCTATTTAAGGGCACTCATAGCCTCTCATTGCAAGGGACCTATTTAAGGGCACTCATAGCCTCTCATTGCGGCTACCATTATAATTATCAAAAGATAAGGGCAAAATTGTTATTATTTATCAATAGATAGTATTTCATACAAAATTCATGTAAAAACAACATTCAAAAAGAAAAAAA